GAGATAGGTGGTGTAAGATATAGGTGGTGTGAGTTGAGTGGTGTAAGATGAGAGGTGTAAGATAGGTGGTGTGAGTTCAGTGGTGTAAGATGAGTGGTGCAAGTTGAGTGGTGTGAGATGGGTGGTGTGAGTTGAGTGGTGTAAGATAGGTGGTGTGAGTTGTGTGGCGGCGGCGGCGGAGGCGGCGGAGGAGACGGAGCACAGCACGGAGCACGGCGGAGCGGCGGGCGCAGAGCGAAAAACATGTGATGTGAGGAAAAACAATAGTAGCATATAGTAGCAATGGCCTCCAACCTACTCATGAGAGTCATTAGACTCATTGGACGTTGGGGGATCAATCGGGTGAGGATGCTCAAGATGCCTTCGCCGGATCCGGACCAAGCAGTTGTTCTATGGCTCCCGCAGATACCATCCTACTTGTGCTGCCAGTGTCTTGATGTCATGAGGCACTCTGTGAAGGGGTTGTACTGCGTGGGATTTCTTGGTTGAATGGTGTTTCTGAGCAGCGGTGGGTCTAGTGGTCCAACTTCTGATTTTGTTTTTCAAAGTAAGTTTTGGACCGAACACATCAATATTGAGGTCCATCCAAGGATGATTGGGCACCTCACCAGCGAAATGATTTGGTTGCTAGGTGACCTGGATGCATTGAGGCTTCTTTGAACCCAAAGAAAGCAACCCAAAGTTATGGCTGGTATTGAAGCATGCTGTCAATGAGAGGGTGCTTTCGAAAAGAGACACTTTGCAGCGAATGCACTTTTGTCCTTGATTTGCGGTACTGCGTTGCTATCTGCATACGCTGAGGTGCCTTGTCGTGGTTTCATGGTCCCACTGGCAAGAAACTGCACCTCGGTGAAAGACGAAAAAAGTGAAGCGTGCGGATGTGTCTGAGTGTTTTTTGGCATGCTTTTGCACACTTTTAGCACGGGCAAGGTGAGATTGTTGCGTTGCATAGCATGCCTAGGACTCAGGCCAATGTAGCTGGCGCATGCGCTGTTTCCACCACGTTTTCACATGTTTCATCCGTCGTCGGTTTCCGGGATTCAGAACTTCACAACATTATAGGATCCCACGGATAGATGGCGCAAGTAAACACATATGAAAACCAACTCTCACACAGCCAGAGCAACTCAACCCTTTTCGCTTGCAGGAAGAATCTACAAGTATTTGTGTATGTTTGTGTATGTATTTGTGTATGTAGGAAATGAATGGCGGCGCGCCAGGAGACAGGTGCAAAGGAGGGGAAGAGCGTGAAGGGCAATGAAAGGAAAAGAGAAGGAGAGGACAGGAGAGGAAAGGCTATTGGTCCCATTCTTGTTCACCAGCTTGAATGAACGGTATGGCGTTGTCCAATCTGCCCATATGGCCTGGCACCTCAAGATGCATCACCGGACATAAACTATCAAATACAAACCATGAAAGAAAGTGCAAAAAAAAATCGCTACAAATACATCATTGAAAGGCGCAGGCTGAGGATGGGTGAGAAAGGGAAGAGAAAAGGGAAACGCATGAGAGGAAGGGAAGAACAAACAAGGACGTAAAGGAGAAGAAAGGAGATTCCACTAGAGGAAGGACGGCAAAAGGAAGGAACAGCGCATTGGACAGTGAAATGGCGGAATACACAAATGGCGCATCCGGGCAAGGCCCATGATGTATGAGGAAGACAGTTTTTGCTGGTAAATGTCAGCGTTTGAGGTTTCTTGCGTGTTTGAGTTTTTCCCGAGTGGGTAGCGAAGGGTTCTCGTTTAACTCTTGGGGGTCTGGGGGTAGAGCTTTGTTCGCGACCCGTTGCTTCTATGTTCGCAGCCGCCCGCAACCGTCCGCAACCGTCCGCAACCGTTCGCAACCGTTCGCAACCGTTCGCAACCGTCCGCAACCGTCCGCAGTAGAGCGCTAAGGCGCTGCCATTGGGGGAAGCTTTTGCAAGTGACTTTTCATGGATGTGTCACGTGTCAGTTTGCGCCGCTATTCCATTGTGATTTGCGTGAAAAAGACATGTCGCGCAAGCAACGTGACGCGTTTCGCTGCACAGGCGCAGCGTTTGGTGAGATCTGCAGATTGCTGCGCCAGTTCCATTGGGATTAGCGTTTGGAGAGTCGTGTTTTTGGGGTGTTGGATGTGGCCGTGCCATTGGGATTTGCGTTTCAGGGTGTGGCATCGAAGCTCTGTTTTCGTGACAAGTCTCAGCTGAAATGCCGATTTTGGTGGATGGGAGTGTGCCCAGAACGGGTCGAAATCATTCCAAACGTGTGGTGTGGTGCAAATTTTTGTTGAAGCTCACATGAGATGACATTGTTACTTTTCGTGGCAGGCGCAGGACTTTGTGCGGGTTTTGAGGTGTGGAAGTGGGATTTTCGTGGCAGGCGCAGGGAATCGTGAGGTTGCGATGTGTGACGGAGGTGACATTTCGTGGCAGGCGCAGTACTTTGTGCGCGTTAGACCTCGTCTTGGGGACTTGACATGTGACTTTTGGAGGAAGTCTCGTACGAAACGCTTGTTTTGGAGACTTGACGTGTGACTTTTGGAGGAAGTCTCGTACGAAACGCTCGTTTTTGAGACTTGACGCGTGACTTTTGGAGGAAGTCTCGTACGAAACGCTCGTCTTGCAGTCTCGCAGCGTGACTTTTGGCCTATTGTCCACGTTCTCTCCAACACGCGCGTCCTCCAGTCAAACGCACGCGCTCCGGACTTTTGACCCACGGGATTCCACGTGTGTAAGGTGTGTGTGCCCCCTGCGAGAGATGACACACATCCGGCCACCACGACTTGCCAAGGATGCGGCCCACATCGACACACATCCCACCGTGGCATTCTTCAGTGGCGGCAAACCTTGCATTTCACACATCCGACTGAATGGAATCCGAATTTGAATGTAAAATCTGTCTTGAACTCTGAGACTATGTATGAGGAGTCTTGTATGATGAGGGGTGTATGACAAGTGATGAATGATGAGTGGTGTATGTTGAGTGGTGTATGATGAGTGGTGTATGCTGACTGGTGTATGATGAGTGGTGTCTTGACCAGCAGTTGAATGTCCTGTCCTGCATAACTGCAACCAAATACTATCAGTATGAACTGAACGCGCACGCCGCGAGAGATGACTCAGCAGCGAGAGATGACTCAGTCGCGAGAGATGACTCAGCCGCGAGAGATGGCTATAGCGAGAGCTGACTCAGCAGCGAGAGATGAATGAGCAGCGAAAGATGACTCCTCCGCGTACTACACTGTTCGCCAGTACAACTCCAGTTGTACTACGAAGTCGCCAGTCCTCAGTTTCTAGCTGCGCAGATTGCTCCGCGTGCTGAAGTTGTACTGCAAAGTCGCCAGTTCTCATCGTCCAGCTTGCCAGATACTCCGCGTGCTAAAGTTGTACTACAAAGTCGCCAGTTCTCAGCTTCCAGCTCTACAGATTGCTCCGCGTACTAA